AGAAAAGTCGTTTATAAAATTAAAAAAAACCATTGGTAGATTTAAAAGTTTGCATTGGTTCTTTTTGGTAGGAAGTGGTTAGCTTTCAAAATAAAAGTCAACCAACCGTCAATTCAGAAGTTGTCCGCTCGATACTGTTAAAAGTTCAAACTTTCAAAAGGAATTATAGAACTGTCAAATGAAAAAATGTATTAGTGTTGAAATTAATGGAGGATTATTTTTGACTTGAAAATGTGGCATAGTTAAAATTAAATGGGCCTTTTCAATTTAAATTAAAATAATTTTAAAAAAATGTTTTGGTTTTTATTTTAGTGGATAAGTATTAAATATTCTTTATTATTATTTTTCAATAAGATAATTTTTTTACATTGTTATTGTTATCTTTGTTGATGTTTACGTTATTGCGTCTTGGAGCTATTCTTGCTTTGAGTAAACCTGCTACAGTAACAGGTACATGGTGATGTCACAGATGCAGGGTTATGGACAGAAGACAACCTCCAGCATTGTTAGCAGCGTGATTGTATACCGGTGTAGATTTAACGGCAGCGGATAGCGGAAGGAAGGTGTCGATTAGATCGTTTTCGGTGAGGGTTTCTGTGGAATAAGGCATTTTACGAGACAGATCGAGTCAGCTGATTTTATTCTGTTTACTAATTTTGACATTTACTGGCGGGCCGAATATCTTCATTCGCAACTACACGGCCAGCAAAAGTGACTCACGGAGTGTGTTTAGCTTGCTTACTTTTGGGTAAATCCGTGGCAAGCCCATACACTCGTGAGTTACTTTTGTTGGCCGTGTAGAGAATCAAAACAAAAATATCAGACGTAAACAATAACAATGCCACGAGCGGACCGCCAGGAACTGTCATCAAAACGTCTCGTAAAATGGTTTATATTAAATATATTGTTATATACCTTTAACATCTACTGTTGTAGTAGTCGTCGAACACTCACTTGCATTCCGAGCCATCTTGTCCGCTCGCAGATTAATATTGTTTCGAAAATTTTCCTTCCCAAGTTTTCAACGCTCTTCGAGAAACTTCTGACGTCAAGCCAAATTAAGCGGCAAACCGAGGTCCAGTGCTGCCAAAAACTTTTCCTAGAAAATTAATTTTTGACAGTTGAACAACTTTCATTTTAAAAAAATGCACTTTTAAAATTACAAGTCGAACCTGAAAGAAACACTTTCAAACCAAAAAAATAATTTTTATTTTGAATATTTTCGTTGTTAAAATGACGAAATAAAAAAATTTGAAATGGACATAACACTCGCAAGTTGTTCATCGAACAAGCATTTAACGGTAAATTTAAAAGTATCGTAGTTGGTAGTACCGCCACCTGTGGCACGCATAGTCAATTCCCTTGCGTTTGACGTTTACACACTACCGCCATCTGTTCAGCGTACTAGCCACCACACTGTGCTCAACAGATGGCGGTAATGTTTTAGCGACGATGTTTTACATTGAGAAATATTCAATATGTTATGTCTGTTTGTCTGTGGCATTATTTTTATTACAACAATTTTTGTTTTTTGTGTGTACTCACAATTTTCGAAGGAAAACGCACCGGAACTTGATTTACTCAACACGCACCATACTATAAAATAAATGTTTACCATAATATTTACGATGCAGCATTGATGGAGCCGTGAAATGAAATGAATATATCTTATGAAAGCTCACCTGGAAAAGTCAAAGATACACATAAGTCTGATCGTAAAAAACGTTTTCTTCTTCAATTCGAATGTTATATTGGAAGGATTTCACGCAGGCTTGATGAAAATTATGATTTAATGCTAATTTTCACGAATTTTATATGCAGTCTGTCAATATTATCATCATGCAGTGGCGACATCTGCGTTGAGCTTTTGTGGCAATCTTGCAATAGACATGAACAAAAATCTTGGTTTTACGATAGTAATTCCCATACAAACTTCAAATGGTTTGTGCCATCTCAGTTTCTCACCAAATGGGTTCAAATTTTGAGAGGTTAGTCAGGATCCGATTTGGAATCGTTTAAGTACTGTGGAGCGAAAATTTCAAATTTTGCATCACTCTAATATTCACCCTACCGATGGCATACGGTTGTTTGCTTATATTCATCTAAATCGAAGAGGAAGAGGTGACAATTGGGTTCTTTAATTTTGAAAAATATATCCGTTTTTATATATAATCTGAAAGAGCTTCGTTTTCTGAGCACAGCGATATTTTTTATCGAACCCACACACTTTCATCTCGATTTTTAAATCAAGATTTAAAGCAATATAATAAATTCACTGTTTGACTAAGGTGAATAAGGTAATTTTTGCAAATGTAATCATACTTATTTAAAATACTTTCAGTGTACTAAAATTTATGAAATTTTGGGTATGGGCACGTATGGGTTCCATTTTTAATCCAGATTACGAATATGCATTTACCTCAATACCCTTAAGGAACCCAATTGGCTTCTTCCTCTTTTATTTCTATCTCTATCTCTATCTTACGCACATGAAATCGGCCAATCAGGAGCTGGTTCACGTTTGACAGAAAATTGGTTCATTTTCGCCCCCGTATTGTCGACAAACCGACATGAATGACCATAACAAAAACAATAAAATTTCTGACCAAAGCACACTACTGACATCTGACCACCGAAAAACCGACATGAATGACCTTACAAATTACCATGATCACCCTAATAAACAAATACCATAAACGAACTGTATCCCGGATGGGTAAACTATCCCACAAATCGTTTGGATGATACCCCGAACACGTCGTTAAGCTCTCTTTTATGGTTATTTGTATTAGGGCAAAGCACAAAACTGACATCTAACGCCGTGTTCGCGAAAAATGTTTATTCTAGCCATGAACACGCGTACAAACTATATGAGTTGGTTCGTGTCTATTCTATCGCGGACAAATTATTTTTATCTAGATAAAAAAGAATTCTATGGTTTTGACACATGCGATCGCTGCATATTTGAATCGGCCGTTACGAATTCTCGTTCAAGAGTTATGTTTCAGTTTCATGTCGGTTTGTCGGTGATCTGACTCCGTGTTCGCGGGAAATATTTAGCTAAACCACGAACCCGCATGCAAAAGTTATGAATTGGTTCGTGTCTGATCTATTCTGGACAAATTATTTTTATCTAGATCAAAAAATCCTATGGTTTTGACAGTTCGGATCACTGCACATTTAAATCGGCCTTTTACGATTTTCGGGCATAAGTCAAAATTAAGTGTCATGTCGGTTTGTCGGTGGTATAAGCATTATAAGAGCTGACTGTATTCACCTTTATTAATTTAGCAATATTGTAAAGCAATGTAATTAAATCTAATAATTGAGCTAAAAAAAACATTTATTAGGCGTCTTATAAATCATGTTATTAAATCAATTGTTAAGTGTTGAATTACATCGTCGATGTATGTACAAATTACACTTATTCAGTTTGTTATTAGATCAAACTTCTAGTGTTGAATCGAGGAAGACAGTAAACTTTTATGAAGCTTTTATACCCCGGACAGACTATGGCTTATATCATGTAATATAGGCTGGCTTGCAATGAGCACTCATATATAGGATTTCCAGTGAAAGCTAGATGTATGAGTGCTCATTGCAAGGTAGCCTATATTACATGATATAAGCCATAGTCTGTACGGGGTATAAAAACTTCATAAAAGTTGACTGTCTTCCTCGATTCAACACTAGAAGTTTGATCTAATAACAAACTATTTTTTTTATGGAAAATACGGTTCGAACGAAACCAAGAATAATGGGTGATTATATTAGTTATGAGTTAGGTAACACAGTAGGTTTCAAAACATAAGCTCTGGCCTTTGGGTTTATGTGGGAATATTAGTTGCGTTTTGGAAGCGTTGCCCACTGGGGAAAAACGTAAAAATGCATCAAAATTCAACAACTCCCTTTCGTGCTAAAGGAACTTGATCAAATATAGTGTATTATGTAAGTCGAGTCGAGCATCACTTCTTGTCACTGGTATTGCTTTCAGTTTTAAACGTCCGATTTTCATTAAATTCACTCTTTCACTGGACTGGACTGGAGCACCATGCCTTTTTTGACATTGTGAACTATGACCTTCTGAAATTACAACCGATGTTTGTAAAATTATTATAAAATTCTATTCTTCTATTATCTGAAGAAAATCCAGGCCAATATCTCAAAGGCACTCTAGAGATATTCCCCCTTATTCTGCGCCGCGAGTGAAGTGAGGCGACTCGCTGTCACTAGTGAGGTGACTCTCCGTGCAAATCAAATGGGGAGTTATCTCACTCGCGGTGACTATTGTCAACTCACCTCACTCAGCGCAGAATAAGGGGGACTGGTTTTTAAAATTGATTATGCCAAAACACTCTGGAAAGGAAAGGGTTATTACGAAAAAAAAAAATACCAACCAATCAGTGTCAATCACATGGACAGAGGTTTGTGATAGTTACTCCGGAAAAAATCATAACAACCCGTATTTTGTTATCTTTATTAGTATTTTATTGTTTTTAATTTAAATTAATCATAACTGTAATACGATTGTTCGTTTCTGCATTTTTTGCTGTATGTCAATATTCATTCTTTTGTATTTCCTGATGATGACCGCGCACACACACAAGGGAAAAGGAGCAGCGAATCGCGCAAGGAAGCCCGCGAAAGGACAATTTTATTAAACACACGCTTAAATAAATGCTTGCTAAGAAACGCTTCCTTTCGCCTTCCTCGCCACGCAAATGAAAAGAAAAACGGTTCGCATGCAATAGTGTTCATTGACTCGTACTTTCCCTGAACCCTTGCCAGATATTCTTAACTACTACACGCATCTGATCCTGACTGACTGCCGTGGCTGAATCCGATTTTCTTCTACTACTGGATGACGATACTGATTCACGCTCGAGACAACAAAGCAATCGTGCAAAAGGTGTTCTGATTTTGCTTATGAATTTCTGAACCATTGGTTTTTGATAATTCATTACAGTTGGTTTTATTGGTTGCATCAATTTACTGTTCAGTTAGTGGTTGTTTTTACTTTATTTTTCATTGTTCTTCACTACATTCGCTCCCATGTTTTTGTATGCTTCCTATACTGTTGTGTTTAATATTTCAGTGTTCGTGTATTTCTGTATGTGTGAGTCTGTCTGTATGCTGTCCGCTAATCTGTTGTAGATATTTTTCTGTTGTTGTTGTTGTTGTTGTGTGCGTAATCTTAAGTATGGATAATCTTATTGACGATCAGTGGCGCGCAGCTTCTCTTCGACAGCTTCTCGGGATGCTTCAGAGAGATCGGTAGCCTGAATGTACTTCTGGACGCCAACGAGCGACTTCTTCAGAGCGTCGAAAGAGCTGGAGTACAACATCTTCTTCTTGACCTGGAAGTAGAAAGATGAGAGGGATTGTTAATAATGAGCTGCATACACATTTTTATGACCCTCTTCTTCTCCAATAGTAAATATTATTTGAGAAAATATACTATACAGTACGCTAATGTATGATCCCATCTAAGCAATTTTCAAGATGTGAGAATTATCTTTTAAAAACAACCGAGAAAATTTAATTTCTTTCCCACTGTTTATGAAATTAAGAAATACATATTAGAATATTTCATCGCTTTAAACGATTTAAGGTCATTCAGAATTTGATTTCTGGTTAACAATATTTAGTTTATTCTGTTTGTATTAGAGGAAATGACGGCTTCGGCATGACAGACTATTTTCGGCAACCCAAATTGAACGCTAATTTCATTGGATTTTCTTACGAAAACACTTCGCTGAATACACTCTAACGATTATTTAGGCTTTCAGCTTCAATTTGATTATATTTTTACCACTGAGAAAAAGGGTTTTCTTGAAATGAAACACACGCACTACAAAATGCTGCTCATTTCGAATTGCCTATGAAAGCACAGAACTGTGCACGATGGTCCCCCGGCGAGACAGGGGGTTGGGGCAGGCCCAACGGCTTGCCCTGGAAAACATATAAAGTTGCGAATACCGAAGAAAGAAATACGGATCCGAACAATCGGCACAGACCTACACGACGAAATAAGGACTACGATTGGAAACTCGGAATATAGAACTGCAAATCGCTCGGCTTCCCGGGCTGCGATAGGTTAATCTATGACGAACTTCAACCACGCAACTTCGAAGTCGTAGCACTGCAGGAACTTTGCTGGATGGGACAAAAGGTATGGAAAAGCGGGCATCTAGCGGCAATTTTTTTAGCAGAGCTGTGGCACCACCAACGAGCTGGGAACCGGCTTTGTAGTGCTGGGTAAGATGCGCCAACGCGTGACTGGTTGGCAGCCGATCAACGCGAGGATGTGCAAGTTGAGGATTAAAGGTCGTTTCTTTAACTACACTGCCCACACGAAGGGAGACCCGACGACGAGAAATAAGCGGTCTATGCGCAGCTGGAGCAGGTCGAAGTCGAACGCCGCGACCCAACATTGAGCAATTACGGGACGCCGGAGTTGCTCAGGATTACGCGCAGCAGCTGGAAGTTGCACTACCCACGGAAGCGCAGCTTGTCGCAGCTACTCTTGAAGATGGCTGGAGGGACATCCGTTCCGCCATAGGTAGTACTGCAGCAGCGGCACTAGGTACTGTGATCCCGAACCGAAGGAATGACTAGTTTGACGGCGAATGCAACGGTGATGCAGCCGAAAACGAAGGTGACACGGTAACAGACCTTGGAGCACGCACAGAAGCCGACGGACTACCAGCCCTGATCTTCAAGAAGTTGAGGAGGAGATCGGTCGGTTGAAGACCAACAAAGCAACTGGTGTAGATCAACTACCAAGTGAGGTATTAACATACGGTGGTGAAGCACTGGCTAGAGCGTTGCACTGGGTAATCGCCAAGATTTGGGAGGAGGAGATATTACCGGAGGAGTGGATGGAAGGTGTCGTAGGCCCAATCTACAAAAAAAGGGCGACAAGTTGGATTGCTGCAACTACCGCGCGATAACACTACTGAGCTCAGTTGCTATCCATCTCTCAGACTGATTGGACGTTGTATCACCAGACAATCCCCCCTATTCTGCGAGTCACGTGACTCTCTCTCACCGGTGAGGTGACAATAGTCACCTCGTGTGAGGTGACTCTCCATTTGATTTGCATGGAGAGTCACCTCACACGAGGTGACAATTGTCACCTCACCGGTGAGAGAGAGTCACGTGACTCGCAGAATAAGGGGGAATACTTTCGAGCATCTTTTGTACGACGCGCGTGTGTGTTTTTTTGCCATGCGGGCTTTAAGAGCAAATTGTGTCGTGTTAGACACATCAATTCTTCCGAAGCGACCGTGTATCTCGGATATTAAAAATTTCTTGGACAATGAGCTGCAGCTCGACATGTCACTGGTGAAAAGTATCCAGCCACATAATGTCAAGAACGTTGTGTATTTGGGTATGAAAAGTGACGTAGTAGCAGAAAGAATCGCTTCAGCTCATCACCTGAAGCATTTCATGGAATACGAAAGGAAGAAAATCTTGATTCCAATTTACGTCGAGAGCAGTGCGGTCGACGTGCGCTTGCATGATCTTCCGGACGACATGGATAATGTGGCTATCATTGATCATATGCGTCAGTATGGTGAAGTGATAGCCATTAGAAGCGAAGTCTGGAAGAGTTATTTTCCAGGCTTTAGTAATGGAGTACGCGTTGTGAAAATTAAGCTTACTCTCCCCATCCCATCGTACATAACCGTCGACGACGAAATTACGATGGTATCCTACCATAATCAGGTAAAAACATGCCGTAATTGCGGGCGCAAATCCCATCCCAAACAACGTTGCTCTGAGGTGGCAACAGAAACTGCAAACGAGGACAATAACCCCCAAACTGATCAACAGAATAGAGGCATCAACAACAGTAACAGCGTGAACAGTCAAACAGTCAACAAACAACAATCAAACGCAGCCAACGGTAAGCAGTGGCCCTCTCTTTCCAAATCAACACCTATTGCAGAGCAACAGCACAACAATAAAACTGAAACAAAACGCCAAAGATCGATCGACTCGGACACTACGAACAATGTAACGAAAAAATTGAACGCAAACGACTCCACCGAAAGTGATAGCAGCTTGATCCCAGTGAGTGGTGATATTTGTCCCTATACGCAGCGCCCATATAGGATTCCAGATGTTTCACACATTGAAGATCCAGAAGAACGGTGTGCATTGATCGAGGAGAACAAGAGGAAAATTGATGCCGCCTATTTAGAGCAGCTAATGCACAAGAAAAAGAAAAAAAGTGCTTCATAATTAAAATAAATTGTCTGTTTGTTCATAGCATTCGGCTCCGTTGAGTCTTATTGACATTTGAGCCTAATAAAAAAAAAAAACGTAAGAAAAAAAAAAAAAAAAAAAAACACTACTGAGCGCCGCCTAGAAGGTACTCTCCCAAATTCTATACCGCCGCCTGTCACCATTTGCAAGAGAGTTCATGGGGCTATATCAGGCGGGATTCATGGGTGCCCACGCTACCACGGACCAAATTTTCGCGATTCGGCAGGTTCTGCAGAAATGCCGCGAATATAACGTGCCCACACATACGACACAATCGATCGAGATCAGCTATGACTGATTATGCACGAGTGCGGATTTCCGGATAAACTGAGGCGATTGTTCAAGGCGACGATGGATCGAGTGATGTGCGTTGTTCGAGTATCGGTGGCACTCTCGAGTCCCTTTGAATCTCGAAGGGGGTTACGGCAAGGTGATGGACTTTCGTGTCTGCTATTCAACATCGCGTTAGAAGGTGTGATCAGAAGAGCTAGGATAGACACGAGTGACACGATCTTCAGGAAATCCATCCAGCTTCTTGGCTTCGCCGATGACATCGACATCATGGCACGGAACTTTGAGACGAAGGATAAAGCTAGGCGGATTGAACTTGCCATCAACGCATCGAAGACGAAATACATGAAAGGAAGAAGTTCTAGGGAAGACAATGTTAGCCTCCCAACGGCGCCGGTGGTGTAGTGGTAAGCGTGATTACCTCTCACCCCAGCAGGCTTGGGTTCAATCCCAGTCGGCGCCGCGTTCTGAGGCATAACATCTCTGATCACGCCTTCCTTCGGATGGGTCGATAGGTAGGGTCCAGGTGTGGGAGCTGCCTTCCTGGCACGTCGGTAGCATTGGTGCTCAGCACGGAAAACAAGATCGACGGAAAAAACAAAACCAAAGGAAAAAAAAAATGTTAGCCTCCCACCCCGAGTTTAGATTGACGGTGACGAAATCGAAGTGGTCGATGAGTTTGTGTATTTGGGCTCACTGGTGACCGCCAAAAATGATACCAGCAGAAAATTCAAAGACGCCTTATCACAGGGAATCGTGCCTACTTTGGACTCCGGAGGACGCTCCGGTCGAATAAAATTCGCCGCCGCACGAAGTTGACTGTCTACAAGACGCTGATTGGACCGGTGGTCCCCTACGGCCACGAGACCTGGACTATGCTCGTGGAGGACCAACGCGCCCTTGGTTTTTTCGAACGGAAGGTGTTGCGTAGCATCTACGGTGGAGTGCAGATGGATGACGGAACGTGGAGGAGGCGAATGAACCACGAATTGCACCAGCTGCTGGGAGAACCATCCATCGTCCACATTGCAAAAATTGGGCGACTACGGTGGGCTGGGCACATCGTTAGAATGCCACACGACGAGCCAGTGAAAATGGTTCTTGAAAGCGACCCAACAGGAACAAGAAGAGGCGCGCAACCTGCGGACCCTTCGCAAACTACGAGGCTGGCAAAGTGTGGTCATGGATCGAGTAGAGTGGAGACGACTTCTTCGGACAGCAGAGGACAACAAGGCCTTAGCCTGATTTGTAAGGTAAGAAAGAGAAGTACCATAAAAAGTGCTGAACGACGTGTTCGAGATACTTAATCTAGGATTGCTGGATATTTCCTGATCATCGAAATGAGACCCAATCCGAAGACAACATATCAAGAAGACTGGCAACTCTTCCATGTTCTCGTACGACCGCTATGAGACAGGTACAATCGCGTCACCTGCCGCTCAAAGGTAAATGCTTCGAATGAATTTGATAGCAAAGATTACATCCTCAGAAGAAAGGTTTGGATATTTGCTCATTTTTCTATGCGCTGCTTCGCTCAAGTGCAGCGCTACTGTATCAGTCGCTTGGGTTCTGGCAAAGTTGCCAGTTTTCTTGATATGATGTCTTCGCCCAATCCTTAGCAAAGACATCAAGTTAAAGTATCTCAAATGACGATCGAGATGGACGGGTCGTGACGGTTTACTACCCAAATACAAACATAAAAATCAAAGCAGTAAATCTAGATTTTCCATCAAGAATTGTCCACATTCTTTCCAAATCCACCCATCGTAAATAGTAACATCACGTGCTACATTTGTCCGTCGAGTTGATACAAAATTACAAAACAGTTTTTTATGTACTATTGCACCAAGATTTTCTAATAATGATTGCCCACTAGACTGATGCAAAATTTGAAATTTTCGCTCTACTGTGCTCAAACGGTTCCAAATTGGGTTCTGCTTAGCCTCCCAAAATTTGAACTACTTTAGTAAGAAACTGACTTGACATAAACCATTTATACCAGTTTATATGGGAAAACTTATGTTTTTGTTTATATTTATCTAACAATTTACCACATCACTGTGCTTTTAAAAATGATAGCAGGGATTGTAGCAAATTTTCTCAGCTACAACTTTGTTGAAAACCACTTTTCAATCAAATGCACGGAACAAAAGTTAATAATGATTCAGCAGGCAACATTGGTGTTTCTGGTGAGAAGAATAGAGCACAAATAGCATGGCTACTATGTCACACTGCAGGATACAGTGTTGCTAACAGAACAGCTGCTTGATCATACCATAAGATTTTCAATCTCTTAAACAATTAATAACTATTAAATTTGACATTTAGCTGAAAAACGATATTCCGCAAAGTTGTAGCTTAGAAAAATTCCCGTAAGAATAGTTATAGAACTTTTCGAAAAAGCAATATGGAAAATGGGTAGAAGACAATGAACAAAAAGTTTGGTTTTCCCATAGTAATTTCCATACAAACTTTGAATGATTTGTGCCAAGTCAGTTTCTTACCAAATGATTTTAAATTTTGGGAGGCTAATCAGGACCTGATTTGAAGCCGTTTGAGCACTGTGGAGCGAAAATTTCAAATTTTGCTTCAGTCTATTGCCCACTTCTTTTCTAAATCCAGTTTTTCTGATCAATGTACAACTACACGACTTTCTTGACAATCGATGTAATGTTACAAAACATTTGCACTGTACATCTAATTTACCGAATCAATTGCTTTACTCACCTTAGCGGTATCTGGACACCAGGACATCAGGAACAGCTTCTGCTTCTTGGAACTTTCCGAGGTGCCTTGACACTGGTGCATGTACTCAAAGTCGAACAGTCCATATCTGAAAGGAGCAAACGCCGAGTGAAAAATGGGTGTAAACATGATCCAAACCTAAGAGCAATAACCTACCGGCACTCGCCTGGTCCACCCTTCTGGATATCCTCGAGGAATTGGTCATACTCGGCGTTGCGGTCACCGATCACCTCCACATCGATCTGTTTCTCGTCGCGGATGTAGAATATGACATAGCGATGCTTTTTGTCTTTTTTGATTTCCTCGTATGTCGTTTTGCAAACATCTGATACGGTCACTCCTGAGGCCTGTCCGGGGTAAAAAGGGGTTGAAACAATGGAAACACATTAGACAACATGATTACGTGAGCTGTGGGATTAGGTTGAGGATTTTTACGGTGTTTCTTCTTTCGCTACAATCTACATTAAAGTGCGCTTCTCCGGTCTAAAAATATCACCGTTGGTAACATACATGCAGTGTGGTGCAGCCCTCCACAACCATTCAAGTGTGTCGTACGGAAAATAAATGTCACCGTTAGAAGGGAATTGGTCTAGTTTTAGAATAAGAATTGAGAAATTGCGGTTTGGACGAACCATGTGAATCAACAAGAAGACAAAATTACACATGACACAAGAATTGTTTCCAACAATTACCAAATATGAAAATCAACAAGATCAAGATCGAGACCTTGCATCCAATCGATTGGTCTATGTCGAAAGGTTCGCAATGTATGTAAACATTGGTATACAATGAGATACAAAGTATTGCCTCCTCCTTCTCGTCGCAGACCACGTTGACCACGAAACAACAGAGATCATTCGGAAAATTTACGTGAGAAGCATCCGAAATGAACGAGCACCCATCGTCGTCATCATTAATCCACTTTTCATTGGCGTCATTACTGTTGTTGCATGTGGTATAATAAAAGGCGTACGGTTTTCTGGTTGCGTTTCGAGTCAGTCTGACTCGAAAGAGAAAGAGAGAGAGAGAGTGGGGGCGTCTTCAGCGCACTAACGAACGAAAGAGGAATGCACTCACGTTGCACTTGCGCGCTTTCCGTTGGCAGGCATGTTAGTGGCATAAGTGAACGAAACACGTGTTTCCGTCCGACGACGGGTTTAACCTCAAACTTGAAAATAAGACGATGAATTGAATGGAGAGCACAATCCACAATCGGTTCGGTGTTGTTCGGTCTGGTTCTGGTTTTCATCAACGTGTCTAGTTGGGAGCTCTAGGACTCGGAAACGTTGTTTTAATATGTGCGTTACGCTCAATTTGAGCTTAGCCATTTGGCCATTAAAAAATGGTTAATGAAAATGGGTTGTCTTTTCGGTGTAGTGCTATGTCTGGCTTTGCGTGTGCCATAACTAGCACCAGCAGGCATAGCATTGAATACGTTGGACCGATAACTGGTGAAATCCAAAATTGAGAAAAATGTTACACTGCCCATAAATGCATAACAGTCCCATGTGACTTTTTGGCATAAATTAGTTATTTTCTGAAATCGATTTTTGACAGCGGCGCCGGTGGTGTAGTGGTAAGCGTGATTACCTCTCACCGCAGCAGGCCTGGGTTCAATCCCAGTCAGCGCCGCCGGGATGTTCTGAGGCATAACATCTCTGATCACGCCCCGGGAAGTAAAGCCGTTGGTCCCCGGTTCATGAGTTGATGGGTCGATAGGTAGGGTCCAGGTGTGGGAGCTGCCTCCCTGGCGTCGGTAGCATTGCACAGTGGTCCAGAATGCAGATTTAGGTGGAATGATATGTTTTGAACCTGAAAACAAATCACATGAGAATTCGAAAACCATTTCAATGGAAATCATTTGGAGTGCCCATGATCACATCCGGACATCTTCCGAATATCCTCCCAGTGGCTAGTTTCTATTAGGAAGATGGGATAGATCTCACCAAAGGCGTATCAATTCGGGTTTTTTTTTATCATGATCGGTTCTTCAAAAAATATGTTCAAAAGAAGACGAAATACCCACCAAATGATAACTTTTCCTTCTTTTGATCATGATCTGTTCATTTCCGCATTTATGCCAAACGGGGTACTCCCGTCCCTCATAATAATAAACATTTGACATTTCGACTACAGTAGGTAGGGGAAAATGAGGCAAGATGGCCATCCTAACGAAACTCGAATAAAACTCCACAATTTTGACTAGATAATAATTCTTCTCTATAACCCTACAGAAGCTATGCTTGAAGAACAATCATTCCAAATTTTTTTTATTCGATTATAAGTCAAAAGAAAATTTAAAATTTTCAGACAATGTTCTTTTAAAAAATCTTCCGCTCTAAAACATAACTAAAATCGACCACGTTACGAAAAGTGGTTAGGTTTTGAACCACTTGTAACTCTGTCAATAGCGGATGTATCTTAATTCTAAACAAGCCAATCGATTGGATATATTTCTAAAATCTGCAAAAATGAACACTATCAATTGCATTCGCACAGCGAGCTGCAGCCCACACGAGCGTCCATTCACCGAAGAAGCCGCACCGCTACTGATCGGATTCAGTAGCTCTTCGTGAGTCACTGTGAACCATCTATTACAAGCGCGTCACCCTCGTCCCAAACAACATACAGCTCACCAAGCCTCATCCGTGTTGAACTCCCTAATAGCTCAGCATTACTCAACTATCACGACAAAACGGTTCTTTTCAGGACCACCATAAATTTGTTGAAGAGTATTTTCGGGACATTTGCCAAGGTCATCAATTGGATGCCAGTTCCGATAAGTTTAAATCTAACATACCATGTATTTTTAATGCAACCTTGGGGGTGCAATTTCAAAAAACAAGTCGGCCGCGGCTTGAAAGTGGTCTGATTTTGATCCAGAGATGATGGATTTTAATTCTTAATACGCTAATCGATAGGAAATTTTTCTACGAATCTGTTAAAATTAAGACTATTAATTTTCAAACGATCACTATGTGCAACTATTGCTATGATAATTAAAATTATCACCGATTGCATGCCAAAAGCGCTTTCCCTAACACAGATTTCTAAATCGAATTCCATCTGGTCTCGCCGAATGGTGTTTAGGGTAGGAACTACTTCGGCCTAATCGCTTATTTTGGGCCTATCGAGCAGAAAACTTCAAATAAATCCATGATTTCAGAGTTAACAAGTCAATTATGCGTTTGGTACGATACTTTAGTTAATAAGCTACGGAACGAAGTCAATGAGAACGCGTGATATGAAGGTTTGCACCCATTATTCCCAAAAACAAAAGAAGCGCTCCGACCGAATCAATTTTTATCTTCATTCGATGGGCCGAAGTGAATTCATTGGCGTTTCAATGGTGTTTCAATGCGTTAGGCCGAGTTTAGAAACCGTAGGCCGAGTTTGGCGTCAAGAAGCAGTGTTAGACTTTTGACAATATCTCAACGATTGGTTTCTCTTTATCAAATTTTACGGTACATACGGAAAGGTTTATAACATTTCGGTTGGTGCTAAACTGCGCTAGATTAAGAAAGACTAAGTGCGGGTTGTGCTTAATAGGCCGGACATGGGGTATTTAACCCTATTCAATCACCACGTGTAGTGAGTGGCGGTGTCCGGTCGTTATCAGCAGCAGCAGTGCTTTCAACGCGTGGCGTTGAACATTTTTCTCCACTACACAACGAAAGGCTCCCCGCAAGCAGCTAGCTATCAAGGATGTCCTCAAGAGCCCACGATTCACCGAAGAAGGAGGAAGAAGCCTCACCGCTACTGATCGGATTCAGTTGCTCGTCTTGAGCCGCTGTGGGCCATCTATGCTAAGCGCGTCACCCTCGTTCCAAACAAGATACAGCTCACCAGCCTCATCCGTGTTGAAAACCCTAATAGCTCAGCATTACTCAACCATCTCGACAAAACACAGTTCTTTTCAGGACCATCATAAATGATTGTTGTTTTAAGAGTTAATTTTCATTGAACGTTCGCTCGCCTTACTGCCAGCCACATCGTCCCCAAAGCTCTTTAATAATACAGACAGCAAACGTTTGTAGTCAAATGCGTAACAGTATTGAAGTGGTACATACAAATTCTCACAATGACCGCAATGAACACATGACCTTGTCAATTAACCAGAAACACTTCGAATTAAGGTAAGCAAAAAAATCTCGAATTTATATGATTGATCGCGAATACCTCGGGATTGGAAAATTTAGCAAGAAATTCCTCCTATAAATTTCCGCTGTTTTATTATCTATTGAATAAACCAAAAATTCCGTGCGTTTTATGCAGAATTGATGGGAAACAGTGGTTTCCCTAACACAGTCGCCGAATATTGATACCGAACACGTAATCATAAGTAAAATGTACGGTCATACATTTTTTTTTTTTTTTTTAACTCTTTATTTGTTCCAAATTCAAAATAAATTACATTTCATTTTTAACCTAGGTGCTCCAGTTACTACAGTAACTTACCAGCCTTAATTGTTATGATATATATCTAAGTGTTTTTACATTGTTCCTGTCTTGGCAATTCAGTATTTTAAACAGGTTTTTTAAACCTGCATGTCAGTATAACAATTGATAGCTTAAAACTAAATAACTAAAACTAAATCTTATCTAAGTATAAAGGGAATTAATCGTTGCAATTGAGGATTGTAACGATTTTTGCCGGAAATTATTAATTATTTTGTTGGACATTTGTGCTAAAGTCTCAACATTCGAAATTCTATGTACTTCGGTAGTACTGTACCAGGGAGGCAAGTTCAAAATCATCTTCAGAATTTTGTTCTGAATCCTTTGAAGTGCTTTTTTCCTGGTAGTGCAACAACTAGACCATATTGGCACAGCGTAAAGCATGGCCGGTCTAAAAACTTGTTTAAATATTAGAAGTTTATTCGTCAGGCAAAGTTTGGATTTCCTGTTTATAAGAGGATACAAACATTTAATATATTTGTTACATTTGGCTTGAATGCCCTCAATGTGATCTTTAAAAGTTAATTTTTGGTCAAGTATTAATCCAAGATATTTCACTTGGTTTGACCAGGAAATTGGAACTCCGTTCATAGTGACTATGTGACTACTACTAGGTTTCAAAAACGAAGCTCTAGGCTTGTGTGGAAATATTATAAGTTGAGTTTTGGAAGCGTTGGGAGAAATCTTCCATTTTTGTAAATAAGAAGAGAAAATATCTAAACTTTTCTGCAGTCTGCTGCAAATAACACGAAGACTTCTTCCTTTAGCGGAAATGCCTGTGTCATCAGCGAACAAAGATTTGTGGCAACCCTGAGGCAAATCAGGGAGGTCCGAAGTGAAAATGTTATACAATATAGGCCCTAGAATGCTACCCTGAGGAACTCCTGCT